GAAAGAAGTAGAGATTTTAAATCCTAAGTAAGAAAATCAATATTATGCCTCATTATATTGGTATTGCTAAACAGATTAATGAAATTAAGTATTTTCTTGTGTTGCTTTTCTTTTTTCCAATGTTGTCCTGATGCAGTGATGGTCTGTAATGAAGGAGTACTGCAGAGGAGGAAGTCTAAATGGAGAGCCGATTTATACACCGAAATTGGGAGATAGCTAATCTCGTTTATAGAGCAAAGGTTTTCTTTTGATATGGCTAGATTCTTAGATAGACATCATGGGTCTGGACTTTTGCCGTCTCATAGAACAAATATAAATTCAACCCAAAGGGAAGGGGAGGCGCTCTCTCTCTTCTTCTCGTGGTCAGATGTGCCAACAGGGACCACGTTGACAAAGCCAGCGTTCCCAAACACCGCGGTTTAGGACAAGCATCCTTCAAGCTTCCTGTGCTGGTGGCAGCCTGGTCTATCCCAGGCTGCAGACAGCCACTGATGAAAATGCAGAATGTAAGGGACAGATGGAAGCTGGGCAGATGAGTGGATGATTTACCAGACCCCCAAGAGCCATTTGGTTGGTTGGAAGCTGTTGGAGAAATGGTGAGAAGAAGCCAATATCCAGACTTGACAACAAAGCTTGGAAGCAGAAGAACCAAGGTTTGCAAAGGGGAGATGTGCTTTTCCTGGTCTGAGTGAGGAAACACACACCCATCCCTGGCGAGGTGGCAGCACCATGTGCCCCCACAACCTGCCCCATGAAGTTCTAGATTTTTATTTATTTGTTTGCTTACAGTCTTTTCTTTTCTTTCTTTCTCTTCCTTTTTTCCTTCTTTCTTTCTCTTTCTTTCCTTCTTTCTTTCCTTTCTTTTTCTTTCTCTTTCTCTGTCTTTCTTTCATTTTTACAATTACCCATCCTAATTTCTAAGTCTTTTAACTCAAAGTCAATACAAGATTCAAAACACTAAAAATCAGCAAATTCAGCGTGTCACCACGTGAGTCATCCCTCTCAGTGCCCAGGACACAGAGATGCACAAACACAGATCTTTGGATTCTTTAAAGATCTTCAAAAAGAGACTGACCATTTCGAGGACTCTCTAGACACCTTGTGGAATTGGATCTCCTGACCAGTGAGTTACTATGAATGAGCAACTTGAAGATTATGGTTTCCAGACCTCTTCTGGGACTAGGGAAAATATGAAAATGAAGCAGGCCGAGGTCCCAAACCCTGGAGCTTCCATTACAGATGCCTGGGTCATGCAGGGCTGCTTGGCCGAGCAGGCAGAGGGAACCTTGACCTGGTGCCCAAACTCGAAGGAAAGCACAGCTTCAGTGAACATATTCGGAACTTCCAGAACTCGAAAATCAAGAAGGAAGACGTGTTAATTTCAACTGATGGTTAAATTGTCATTTTGGGAAAAGAAAAATTTTTATTTTGAATTTTGCACGTATCATCATCTTTTCAGATTTCGGGGGCCTCTACCCATCTCATGAGCACGTGCATGACATGAAGGGAAGGATGACAGTGGCCTGGAGGCAGTGATCATCACAGGCAGGGAGAGGTCACCAGCCCTCTCAGAAAGGAACAGCCTACCTCCAGATCCTGCAGGACCAGACGTGTCTCTAAGTGTCCGAGGGCTGCAGGCACTCAGAAAGCAAGTGTGACAACCTCCCACCAGGCTCCCCTCTCAGCTGCACAAACAGAGCCGAATAAAAACTGCCGACGGCCACTGGTCCCACTGCGACAGATGTGGTGCCTTTGCACCATCTTGTCTGTCCTTAAGGGTTTTTTTTCTTCTTTCTTTTACTGCAAACAGACAGATGTAGCTTGTCCCTTCCGTCTTGTTTACGATGTTGAGGAACACCTGTGGAAGAACGGGCCCCCTACAGACATCTCTGACTTTTCATTCAGATGGCTTGAGACTAAGCCAGCCGGCTCTGCAAGCCCATCTGCAGCTGATTCTGGGTTCTTCTGCACATGTTTGCTAGGGGTGTTCCCCACTCCCAGTCTGACTCTGGACACCTTAGAATTCCACAGCCCTGTACATATTATTAAAGACCACTTATTTACATGGTACTTCATTAGCATGATGATGGAAGAACAGTGACAAAACTGGTGACTGTGTGACAATTGCCTCTTTTTCTTAACCTTATGTTTTTATGCCACGGCTTTTGGTGGGTTACAAGCCACCCCAAAACTTAGTGGCTTAAAAACAACCACGTTTCACTTAGCTCACGCTACTGTGGGCTGGCTGGGTGGTTCTTCTGGTCCAGACTGACTCAGCTAATCACTGCTTGGCTCACTCGTGGCAAGTAGGCTGGTGGCTGGAAGTTCTAAGATGTCCTGGGTCATATTTCTGGCAGCTGGCAGGCCGTTGGCCAGGGTGATAAGAGTGACTGGGGCACATGGCTCTCATTACACAGCAGTCAAGCCCTGGCTTCCTAACATGGTGGTCAACAGTAAGAGAGTGAGACCAACTGTGCATTTCAAGTCTCTGCCTGTAGCACGTTTTCCACTGTCCCCATGGCCCAGACCGGAGTCAGCGTGGGAGGGCACCATCTAAGAGCCTGGATGCCAGGACAGGAGGAATTTGTGGCCATTTTTGCATCCACCATTTTTTTTTTCATTTTCTAGTCTCTTTAACTGAATGACTCATTTATTTCTAACGTTTAGTGTTTGTAAATGATGCACAAGTTCAGCTTTGATTACCTCTTTAGCACACAAATATTTAGGAAGGCATTTTTAAATTGCAATTAGATAAAAATTTAATTCAATTTATTTTAATTTAAATTTAATTTAATTTTAATTTTGTCTAACATTTTCTTTTTCCTACTTTTACTATATTTTGGTCTAATAATTTGGCTTGAATTATTTCTATCTTTTTGGGTTTTTTGAGCCATATGTTGTGTTTAATTCTCAATATACCATGGATGTTTGAAAAGTGTGTATTTTTGTTTGATGCAAATATCTAGTTACAAATATATGTACATTATTTGGATATAGAATCAACCTTGGTGGTGGTGGTTTAATTTTTCTCTACTGTTATTATCTGCCTGATCTGTTAATTTCTGAGAGGAGAATGTCATGTTATTTTCATGGGTTTTTACTTGATACATGTCTGTGCTACGTTGTACAAGGGAATTAAGAACTAATTAATTGTATAAGAATTACATAATTTTTTTATATTTCTAGTGAGGTGAATTTTTTATCAGAATAAAACAACCCTTGGCGGGAAGTGTAGAGTGCTTGGTAGAGTGTGTGCCTAGCATGCATGAGGTCCTGGGCTCAATCCCCAGTACCTTCATTAAAAATAAATAAATATACCTAATTACCTTCCCCAAAAAATTTTAAAAATAATTAAAAAGCAGCAACTCTCTTTATCCCACCTAATGTTGGTTGCATAGAATTTCCTGTCCTATTGGTACAGGCCAAGAATTGTTAAAGCCATTATAGTGAGGGTGCTGGTTACCTAGTTCATTTTATAAGATGAGTAGAATAATGAATTATTATGCGTTCTTGGAGTAAAATCTGTCAGTGCACTTAAAACTATAAAAATGCTCACTCTATTTTAAAATTGAAGATAATTATAGATTATAGATTATATTACCTAATTACACATTTCACATCAATTGAAAGAAATAATACAGAGCGATCCCACGTACCCTGTTCCTAGTTTTCACCAGTGTAACATCTTGCAAAACCATAGTGTAACATCACAATGTAGACAGTGACACCGATGCAATCCACTGATCTCATTCAGCTGTCCCCAGTCTTACCTGTGTTCATTTGTGTATGTATGTATATTCAGTTCCATACAATTTACTAACATGTATAGGTTCACATATCTACCACCACAGTGGAGATACAGAACAGTTCCATCATGACAAGAATTCCTCATACTGCCCTTTTACAATCACACCATCTTCCTTCCCTTGTCCCTAACTCCTGCATTTACAACATTTTATCATTTGAAGAACATTACATAAAATATCACATAGGATGTAACATCTGAAGGTTAGATTTTTTCTAACTCAGAATTATTCCTTAACGGTCCATCCAAGCTTCTGCGTGTATCAATGGTTTTCTTATTTTTATTGCTGAATAACATTTTTTTGTGTATATGTACTACAGGCTAACCGTTCACCAGCTGAACACATCTGGGCTACTTCTAGTTTGGGGTTATTATGAACAAGGCCACTATAAACATTCACATGCAGGTGCTTGTGTGAACATAGTTTTAATTTCTCTGGGATAAACACCCAAGAGTACAATTTGCAGTTCGTATGGCAATTTCACATTTAGTTTTACAAGAAACTGCCAAACTGTTTTCAAGATCTGTATGATCTTACCTGCCCATCAACAAAGTATTAGTAATCCAGTGTCTCTGCATACTTGCCAGCATTTGGTAACGTCACTGCTTATATTGTCACTACTCTATATGTAGTAATATCTCATTATGGTTTTAATTTGCATTTCCCTGATGACTCATAATGTTAAACATCCTTTCATGTGCTTATTTGCCATCTGCATATCATCTTCATTGAAAAGTCTATTTGTGTCTTTTGAACATTTTCTAATTTGAGTGTTTGTTTTAACTATTGAGTTTTGAGTGTTCTTTATATATTCTAGATACTAGTCCTTTGTTGAATAAGTGGTTTGCAAATATCTCTACCCAGTTTATTGTTTGTCTTTCATCTTCTTCACCAAAACATTTTTAACTTCGATGAAGTCCAACTTATCAATTTTTTCTTTTATAGTTTGTGTTTTTGGTGTCAAGTCTAAGGACTCTTTGCCTAGCTCTAGATGCCAAAGTCTTTTTTTTTTCCTAAAGGTTTTATAGTTTTATGTTTTAATTTGAAGTTCATAATCAAGTTTGAGTTAATTTTTATATAAGGTGTGAGGTTTAGTTTGAGTTTCATTTTCTTGCCTATAGATGTTCCCTCTCTCCAGCTCCATTTGTTGAAAAGGCTACCGTTCCTTCTTTGAATTGCTTTTAATCCTTTGTAAAATATATGGAACACTTCATGAATTTGCATGTGATCCTTACGCAGTGGCCATGTTAATCTTCTCTGTATCATTCCAGATTTTTTTATATGTGTTACCTGAGTGAGTAACTCATACACTAATAGAACTGCTACAAGATGGAAACCTCAGCCTGTACGAATAAAGAGCCCCAGAAATGGCAGATACGCAGGTTAAATATAAAATACATTTTTCTCATTTGTTTATTTCTTGAAACAACATTTGGTGATGGGAAGAAGGAACCTAACACTGTACTGTGGAGTTTCAGTCCATGTAGACATGTAATGCATGTCAACAGTAGCAGGAAGGATGGCGGGGTGAATACTGGACATATACTAACTACTAAAACCAACTAAGAGGTTTAGACATAAAAAATAAAGGATAAAAAGTGAAATACTAAAAGTTTTCAGTTAGTCTAAGAGTAGAAAAAAAGGAACAATAAGAAAACAGAAAACCAATATACGGGTAGACTTGAACCCAACAATATCAATAATAATGCCAAATGCTATCAATGATAGACTAAAACATTAAGTCAGAGTATATGCTGTCTACAAGAAACACTCTTCAAAAATAAAAATGCAGACATGTTAATGTAAAATGATGAAAGAAAGGTGTATAAACAATAAGAATGAGAAAGGTGATGCAGCTATGTTATAATCATACAAAGATGATTTCAAGGGAGAAATATTCCAAAGATTAAAAAGAAATATTTCCTACTTTCAAAGGGTCAATGCATCAAGAAGATACCCTGAGTGAATGTGCACAAAATACATGAAGCAAAAATAGACAAACTGGTGAGAGAAGCAGACAAATTTGGAATTATAACTGAAGACTTCTCTCTCCAGTAGTAGACAGAACAGGTAGACCAAAAAAAGAAAAAGGAATTTTTTAAAATTAACAACCAATTTAACCTAACTGAGCTGCATAAAACAGTATTCCAACAATAAAATGCACACGGAAAATGCACCAAAATAGACCACCTGTTTAGAGATTAAAGAAGACAATATTATACATTGAAATACAGAATATATATGTATACATGTAATCTAACTATAATAGAATTAAATTATTAGAATTAAATAAAAATTAACAAATGTAAAGTATTTTTAAGCTACAGTGTTTAGAAATTAAATCAAATCTTCTACATATGTCTTAGATCAAAGAAGAAATCACAATGTGAATTATAAAACATTTTAAATGAGATAATAATAAAACAGTGTTTTTAAATGTGTGGGATACAGCTAAAGCAGCACTTGAGGTAATCTGACAGCATTAATTGATTATATTAGAAAGGTGAAAACGTTTAAAATCAAAGATTTAATTTCCGATTGAAAAGTCTAGAAAAAGAACAAATTAAAGCAAAATTAAATAGTGGTAAGAAAATAATAATGATATGAAGGGAAATCAGTAAAATAGATCATTTCGTTGAAATGACACATAAAACTCTAAACTCCCAGAAAAAACTGATCAATGAAAAAATGCAAACACAAATTATCAATACCAGAAATAAAAGAGGTGACAATATCACAGCTCCTACAGACATTAAAGGATAATGCACAGATATTATGCTAAAAAATTTGAAGATTTGGATCAAATGGAAAAATTATTTGACATGATTAATTATCCAAGATTATCCAAGAAAAGTAAAAATATAATTAGTTCTATATCTGTTAAAGAAATTATATTCACCATTAAAAACCTTCCCACACACACACAAAAAAAGATGCAAAATCAGATGGCTTTACTAGTGTGTTCTCTCAAATATTTACAGAGTAAGTAATACTGAATTCTCACAAACTCTTTCAAAAGTAGAGGAGGGAAGGAATATTTCTTATATTATAAAATCAACATGATCCTCATATCAAAATCAGAGAAGGACATTGCAAGAAAGAACAGTATAGACAAATATCCCTCATTAACATAAATGATAAAATCCTATACAAAGTAATTAAAAAATTCAATCCAACAGTATGTAAAAATAAAATACACCTCAAACAAGTGAGATTATCCCAAAATGCAGGGCTGGTTTAACATCTGAAAACCGATTGTATTTCACCACATTAAACAATAAGTAGGACTATCATATGATCAGCATAACAGATTCAAAGCAAAAACCTCTGATAAAATTCAACATCACCCCTTTTCAGCAAAATAGAAATAGCAGTAAACTTCTTCAGTCTGAAACACAGTTCTAGGTTCTATCAAAAAACATACAGCTAAAAACTTACTTAGTGGTGAACAACTCATATATTTCCAAATAAGATTAGGAAGAAGGCAAGGATATCTGCGCTCGTTATACTAGAAATCCTAGCCAATCCAATAAGGCAAAGGAAAAAGGAAAAGGCATGACCATTGGGAAAGAGGTAGTAACAGTATCCATATTCACAGATGACGTTATGGAGATAATCCTAAGGGAAGTACCCCTCAAAATACTACTTGAACAAATGAATCTGGTGATGACACAATATACAAGGTGAATATACAAAATACAATTGTATTGCTACATATTAGCAACAACAAAAATGTATTATATAATTTAAAAATTGCACTCAAAAGACATATAATGCTTGAGATAAGTTTATCAAAAGATTTGCAAGAAATCTACCCTAAAACTACCTATATAACCAATGTCAGAAAATTTTTAAAACCTAAAAAAGGAAGTACTGTACCTACTTTTTGACCTGAAATTCTAAATACTTTCAAGATGTTGATTCTTCCCAAATTGATCTTTACATTCAATTTCATACCAAACAAAATCCAAGAAGCCAAATTAAAGAGCTCATTCTGAAAATTATTTTTAAAAATTCATCTAATGGAGCCAAAGCAATTTTAAGTAAGAAAAACAAGTCTTTAAAGACTTGTTATGAGGTAATAATAAAACTGTGCTTTTTGTGTAAGAAACGGCAAAAGGAGCAATGGAACAGAGTCTAGAGTCTAGAAATAGATCCACATCTATAATAAATAGATATTTGACAAAGGCATCAAGGTATTCCAACAGGGTAATAATAGTCTTTTCAACCAAAAGTTTTGAAACATACCAGTATCTGTATGAGAAAAAGATGACCTTTGACTCCTACTCACAACATTGACAATAATTCAGTGAAAACTGTAGATGAAACCTAAAGCTAAAACTACAAAGTTCCTATTAGAAAAGACAGGAGAATAACTTCATGATCTTAGGGCAGGCAAAGATTTCTTACTGAAAAGCCAAAAGCATCAAATATAAAATAAAGGAAATAAACATAACTCTATTAAAATTGAAAACTTCTGCTCATCAATAGATACTGATAAATTAATGAATACGCAAGCTAAAGACAAGGAGAAATGTGGCAAATGATTTGTATTTAGAATATGCAAAAAAAAATCCTACAATGCAATAATAAGACCCCAGTACTATTGGGCAAAAGACTTGAACATACATTTCACAAAGAAAGATATATGAATGGCCAGTGTGCACCAAAGGGCTCAACATTATTCATCATCAGGGATGTGCAAACTAAAACCCTAATGAGATACCACTTCAAACTTTTCAATGGTTGAAATTCAAAAAGAATGACCACATCAAACCTTGCCGAGGATGCGGAGCACCTGAAACTCTTAAACACTGATGATGGTAAAGTGGTAAAGCTACTTTGGAAACTAGTTTGGCAATTTCTTATAAAATTACACATATACCTACCTTATGACCCAAAATTCCACTCCTTGCTATTTATCTAAGAGAAATTAAAATGTATATCCACAAAAAGACTTGCATAAGAATGTTAATAGCAGCAAAAAAAGGAGAGAGAGAGAAGAGAAAGAAAAGAAGAAAAGAGAGAGAGAGAAAGAAGAAGAACAAGGGAGGAAGGAAGACCAAATGTCCACCAACAATAGAACAGAGAAGTGAATTGTGGTATTGTCATACAGTGGTATACTCTCAGCAATAAAATAAATTATTAACACATGCAACGATATGGAAGAATCTCAAAAAGCATTTTTTTCCCAAGAAAAAGAATCCATCCTGTGTAATTCTACTTATATAAAACAGATCAATGAATCTCTGGTGACAGAAATCAGAACTATAGTTGTCTCTAAAGAGAGGCAGCAAGAATTTACTGGGTAGGGTCCTGAAGGAACTCTCTGGAGTGTGTGAATGCTCTATATTTTCATATGGATGTGGATATGCACATTTTAAAAAACAGATCAAACTTCACATTTAAGATCTAAGCATTTCACTCTATGTGAATAATAAAATTTTAAAAATCTTAACTGATAATCTTCTCTTTTCTGCAAACTCTCGCTCATTAGTGGCAATCCTCAGAATGAAGCCCCCCTCAAGACCCCACAATCTCATTTTGCATCAGCTAACCTGCCGAAAGAATGAAATGGCAAACTCCAGGCTAATACAGCTTCACATGCATTTTTTTTCCTCCAGCTGTATTCTCCAGCACCTGCAGCAATGCACCATATAAAAAGAACAGATAAGAAAACAAGATGGAATCTCACCCAAATTTATTACTGAAGATAGTTCCCAGGTGAATGGCAGTACCACTTCTCTGTCACAGGCAGGCAGATACAGCAGTTCAAATACCTCTTTCTGAATAGTTTAGAGACTTCTCTGGTTTGAAAGTTTATTAAGTTTTCATTAAATTTTGATTTTGTTCTGTCTGTAAGTGCTAGCTGGTTCATACACTTGAAACAGCAAATGCTAATATTGTTCAATATATTTGGTCAGCAAAAGTTCCTCCTGTCTTTCCCCCAAGCCCAGTCAAAATCCTCTTTGGCGTCTCAAACTCCATGGTCCCCCTGGGCCGAGAAATCTCTGAGCAGAGAGTTATAAATGTCTCAGGAAACTCACTACCTTCAGGTCTGAGGTTACACAGTTCCCTAGACCCCATCCATCTTCCTGACTATGAAAACAAATGAAAAGTTCTTGGAGTGAAAGGGAGCTGGAAAGTCATATTTGAGTTTGGATCAGTAACATCAAGTTTCTCTTCGAAACAAGTTCTCCAGTCATGCTAATCGATGATTTTAAAAGACTGGAGAAGTCCATTTCTAAACTGTTAAGCAAGAAAAGTAAAATGCAACCAATGATGCTCTGCTTGTGTTGGAAC